CAGGAGAAGGAATAAAGGGGGGAGTGAAGAAATAGAATTCAAATCTTGCTTCCTCTCCCCACAAAAAAACACCAAAAAAAAGAACTGCATCTATATAGAGCTCTGTGGAGAACAGTGAAATAAATATATGCTTATAGGAGCCAAACATGCACACAGCTTGTTGACAGAGAAGTCACTTCTTAAAGAGAGTCAATTAGAAATTAATCTCAGTGACAGCTGATTATGCTTTCTTTTTAATATGTCAGAATAATGTATTTTCTCTACCACAATTTATTTTTAAAGATAGGTAGAAAATACCAGTTTAGAGAGATTTTTAGATTTTTTTTTTATGGTATGAAGGAGAAAAAAGCTTTATGCAAGCTGCACAAAAAATGGAACAACTGTACAGACAGCTTCTAGCTCTGTGACCTGCTCTACAATACCACTTGCAGTTTATTAAAAAAGTGGGAATAAAAAGTGTTAGGATTTCCCCTCCATAAGTCAAGCAGCAAATCTAACACTGAATTAAATCTCTGCAATCTACAGTAGAACAATATTATGAAGTAAATGACACCTTTCACTATAATTGGCAAAGAACAGCATAAAAACATATTTAAAAGCAGGAGAGTTGAGTCTTTTCAAAGCAAATGCTATATTCTATTGCAGAATGTTAGTGTTACCAAAACTATTCATCTTTCTTGGATATTTCACAGGGTGGCTGGCATGAAACTAACTGGGGTGAGACATTGGGTTTCAAATGCACCTCTGCACTTTTTCCTCAGTATTCCCCCCTCCCCCCAAAAAAAGGGACTCAAATGCTGCTTATTCCATAGTTTTCGGCTTTATTTCTTTTTTTTTTTTTAAGAATAGAGCTTTGAGGACACATGGGACTATAATTAAAATCTCTTACAAAAGAAATAAAAATATGTCAATCATACCACTTTGTGTAGGATCTTGCTTTTTTTTTTTAATGAGTAGGAGAAAGTGCATGTTGAAGGGAAGAGTAGACTATAACCACACCATTTCATGGCAAATGTGGAAAGAAAGCTGCCTATCTTACCACTAGAGATTAATTTAAGGAAAGATATTCAGTCTGCTACTGAATCATATAGTTTTCAAATGCACCACATACAGGCAAGCTGTTAAGTTACTGTCAAGACAACCTGCAATGAAAACAACATGCCTTTAACCTAAAGGACTTACGTCTCATGAGTGCCAAAAAAGAAAATAGGCATTTTATTCATAGGAGGTTTTACTGCTCCATCTGGAACTTCATCCACCTAAGGGAAAAAGAGACTAGAATTAAAGTTTAGTAACAATTAGAAACAGTCTGGGGGAAACACTTAAGTGTTAAGTATTAAATTGAAAAACAAAATACTACAGAAAAAGTGAAAGAGAGTAAACAAAATGGGGCTCAAGGATTATATATAAAAACACAAAAGAAAAAAGAATATTGAGCATTACAACAGAAAATAGCATCAAAACTTTTTAAATTACCATTTACTTAAAAAAAAAAAAAAAAAAGACAGGATGGACTATAGGTAAAAAATAGCATTCAATCCCAAATACCACATCCTCACCACAATCCATAGCAACACTTCCTGTCCCCATACTGAACTGATGACTTGCCCAAGCCCAAATGTCATATATTATGAAAAATATAGAGGTTGTTGACATTTTTTTGTTAAAACGATTCTTAATCCAACACCATCTTCACAAAACCTCTGTTAATGAACCTTTTATCTGATGAGCCCATAACCACCAACTCAAGTAAAGCAGTGAACTTGTCATCGGTCTTCCTGTACTGGGAAGCTGGCGTAGTCAGCAGGATGGCAAGTAGTATCATCAATTATTTATGGAGGCATGGAGTGAACCCGAGTCCCAACTTCTCAGAAGAATGGGACTCGTGACAATTGACATAACTGGGAAGCTGTTGAGGAACACCTAAAAGTAACTAGGGGCCACACAAAGGATGGAAAAGGGAAAGGAGTTATCTGCAAGATGCTAGGTACCTGTTTAGAAGCTGCATGTCAAGAAAGGGAGAACAGAAATAGAAAGGAGCAGGACCTAGAGAAAGAAATAGAAGGTAAAAAGGCAGCTGAGCTGTTACTGTCTCTGCAAATTGAACAGATACAGAAATAGTTACAGGAGAAAAAGGAGAAAGGACAAAAGTTAGGAGAAAAGGTTGAGATGATGCTTATGCAGGTTCCCCGCTCCCTTGACATCATACAGATTAGGAAACTAATAGTATCCCCTGAAGATTGGGATGGAGACATCTGGGGTGATCCCGATAACAGCAAGCCAGCAGAAGATGACCCTTTGTTCCTCTGAAATCCTGAATATGAGGCTAGACCCATTGTTGGAGGTATGGGAAAAAAGATTTTTTGGAGGTATGGGAAAAAAGGAGAGAGGTCCCTAAAAGTCTTCCTATAAGAAATAGAGAAGAATTCCAACAAGATATATGACAATGGGAAGAAACCAAAAGACACTAAACGAGACTTATTTGAAATAATGAATTATTAATATAAGTCTCAAAGTGGGGAACTGTTGGAGGTATGGGAAAAAAGGAGATTAGGGTATTATTCAGTCTTTCACAGGTAGTTAACAAAACAAGGCCCTGAAGGAAGGAGCAAGACAACACTATAAGGCAACCAGGTAAGGAAGTACCCAAATAAGCCTGAAGAGAACAAAAACAGTTGATAAACAGGAGAGAACTACTTGAACTATGGGTGAACTATCCTAATTAGCATAATAAAAAACCCACCCACGAGCAGGGAAGCCCCCTACCCACCAAAGCCCCTTCCCCATAGAGCATGTATAGTAGAAAAAGAGGATACTGTGCCTTTAAACGAAGACAAGACCTAGCAGAACCAATGGGAACGAGGGTGACTTAATGTAGTTGTAAACTGTACTGATAACTGTTGCTTAAACTGTATAAAGTGTCAGCTGTGTAGTAATCAGGTGTGCTAGCTTTGTGGAGTTATCACCTAGCACCCATCTCTGCGCAGAAATTAATTAAACAAATATCTCGACTCTGTGTGTTTTCGGCTCATTGCACACCGGGTGAAAGAATCCTTCTTTGGGACAACACCATTGTTAAAACAGAAAGAACCAAGGCACCTCGGGGTGGTACTACGCAACATACTACGCAAACCATCCCCTGGGATCCGTTACAATTGACAAATTTGCAAGAGAGAGAGAGCAGAAAACCAGGTGAAACTGAAACAATACTTGTGGCGAGTATGCCTAAGTGGGGGCGATCGAATAATGCTGAGTGAGGACGAAGCAGATCGCTATTGAGGTCCAGGAGTTTTCTTAAATTTAGGACCCGACCCGGCAGATACACCCCATTCTATCACCAGTCGGGTAGCTTATTGGGCTGGGGGAATAGACAGCATGGAGTGAGGTGAACCCTCCATAATTCCCATGAAATCTCTAAGTGAGCTCTCTACAGCCATCACAAAAGCCACTTGCGTACAAGCCATGCACAAACGAGGACCTCATGATGTCCCACTATCTGCTACAGTAGATTTTGCAATGTTAAAACCACTGATTAAAGGAGCCCCGGCAATTATTAAGCCCTATTTAGAGACACAGAATACAGTGAAAGACTAGGTAATAACTCTCGCAGTCAACTCCCTACATGGGCAGAATTAACGCACGGCATTGTTAACCACAGCCATGAAATGGGCTGGGAGGATGCACCAGCTGAAAAACCAAACCTGAAGCCCCAGGGAGGAGATCATAAGGTGAGACCAGCGATGCAGGTAGCCCCACATGGAATAGAAACTAAATCAAAGGGAAATAAATCTAAAAACCTGCAAACAGAATCTCGAGAACAGAGAAATGAATTATGGAGGAAAGCATTAGCCCTAGGCAATCCCAGAGCCGTGATTCAAGGTCGGCCTACTGGCATTATCTTGAGTCTGATTTAAGCATTCCAGCATTCCAGAAACGTGAAAGGAAGGAGCATGCTTCCGACTCCTTCAGTGCCGGTTCCCAGAGAGAGAGACAATCCCTTCCTCCCCCTTAGGGAGGAATTGCAGGGCATGAAGGAGGAAAAAAAACCAAAACGAGTAATGCCCGGAAGGCAATTTGGTCTGCCTGTCGGGCAAGGGGAGGCTTATCAGCGGATAAGTGATAATGGCCCATATACCTTGATCCCAGTTGGTCCTCACCGACAATGGGTGAAGTTTTAATAGATACGGCAGCACAAATTTCAATACTAACACAAGGCTGGGCGTGCGACCCAGACGACAAAGAGTTAAGATTACCAGTGTTAACAGAGCGAGTGTTGTGTGCCAAACTGCCAAGGTCAATTTATGGCTCCCAGGCGAGAAGTGTATGTCGATCACTCGCTTTGCAATTAAAGATCATCATGAAAATATTTTAGGTTTTGATGTTTTAAATGGACGAACCTGGCGCCTGCTGAATGGCAGTGTGTGGTCCTTCGGCTCAAACATCTATCCCAACCCCGGTAGAAATAGGGAGGTTGCAGTGCATGTACTTCACACAGCCCCTGCACTCCCTGATTCAAAAATTATTAACGTACCACAATATCCGATTTCTGCTGCGGCACGAAATGGAATTGAGGTTCCACCTGAAAAAAAGCCAGGGACCAAGTAGGGAAGTAAAATTTTTAGGTACTTGGTGGATATCAGGCAGTGCAGTGATTCCTCCAGACACTTCAAGAAAAATCCAAGAGCTGCAAATGCCCCAATCAAGGAAGGGGTTACAACAGTTAATGGGAACTTTAGGATACTGGAGGAAGCATGTACCTGGATTTTCTATTATTGCTCGTCCATTATATTCACTCTTACAGAAAGACAAATCCTGGGAGTGGAAATTAGAACACAAAGAGGCAGTCAAAACTCTAACTGAAGAATTTAAAACATATCAGTCATTGGGACCAGTACACCCCCGCGACCCTATTATAGCCACATGGGGTTTCACTGAACATGCTTCTTACTGTAACCTGTTCCAAACTGGCTCTGATAGATTAAAAAGATATTTATTATTTAGCTCAATCACATTTAAGGAAACAGAACAACGATATTCTGAATGGGAAAAAGGACTTTTATCTTTAGTCCGAGCAGTTAAACAAATTGAGAAAATACACCAGGGACAACCTGTGCAAACTAGAGGACCACTTAATTTGCTAGAAGCAATCCTAAAGAGGACTGCTCCCCTGGAAGGAGTTGCACAAAAATCTACCATCAGAAAATGGTATGCCTACCTAACAGTAGTTGCAGGAAATATGCAATTAACTGAAGACTGTACTAAGGTTTCCAAATTACCTGTGGATACAGACCCCCTTAGCATTACAACAACCTTTTAAACCTTCACCAATTCTGAATGCACTGCCCCTCACTGAGGATGCACCAACAGAAAATATGTGGTTCACTGATGCCTCAGCAAAAAGGATAAATGGTATTAACTATTACCACTGGCAAACAAGTAATAGAAGAAGGTGAAGGCAGTGCACAAGTAGGAGAATTAAGAGCAGTAGTTTTGGCAGCACAGATTAGAGCAAAAATCATATATGTAGACTCTTATGCTGTGTGGTCTGGTGCCACACAATGGCTCTGTCAATGGGAAACCTTGAATTTCTCCAGTTTGGAGAAACCAAGATTGGCAATTATTACTAGATATAGTCCGGAAAACACCATTCAGGATGGGATGGGTGAAAGCTCATGCCAAGGATAGTCAGCCCACCACGAAGTGGAACCAAAAGGTAGATGAGTTAACTAAAATTAGGAAAATCACCTTAAATACCGAATGGTATCGGTTGGGGGAGTGGTTACATCAAAACCTAGGCCACACAGGTAAAGAAGCACTTTACTTTGCTGCATAGAGTAAGGGTTGGCCCATAAACAGGGAAACTTGTGAAACTATTCTTATAGAATGTCCCCAATGTAGATTAAAATTACAAGCAGATCACCCCACTAAAGCACCACCTCTACATATATTAATGAAGGAAAAACTTTATGGTCTACATGGCAAATCGATTATATCGGGCCATTCAAACCCTCTGCGGGATATCGATATATTCTCACAGGAGTGGAAGTAGTTTCCGGCCTGCTTATGGCAACTAAGTGTCAAAAAGTGGATGGGCGAAATACAGTACGAGGGCTGTCATCTTGGTTCTCAAATCTACCCACTCCTGATGTTATCCAAAGTGATAATGGTTCACACTTCTCATGTAAGGAAGTGCAAGATTGGGTAAAACAAAAGGAATTCAATGGGTATTCCATACCCCATACTATCCTCAATCAAATGGGATGATAGAAAGAGCTAATGGCTTATTGAAAAGGAGTCTCAAACTGCAGGAGGCCCAATAGGATAAGCGACTTCCCAAAGTACTCCATCAATTGAATAATCGGTATGGGCCTACTGGAAGCCCTGTAAGCCAAGCATTCTTTGCAAGAGCTGGGCTTGGTGCTCCACCTTCTGGAAAAGGAATATATCCAATAACATTACAGCCAGGACAACCTGTCATGGTCAAATTACCATCTATTGGTACCGTGCCTATGACTCTAACTAAACCTCACGGCCCACTTGCCTGGGAAGCTACTGATAGCAGTGGTGCAAAACATAGAATTAGTGCATGATGGATTTTTCCTTCTTTTTAATGGGATAACCCGTCCAGTCGATCCCACCGAGATAAATTTCTCTTTCACCTTTTGCTTTGCAGCATTCACAAAGGAACCAAGAAGACATGAGCCCACTATTATCACACATCTGGATGATACTCTTGACCCTTACCCTTGGGCAAAGAAATTGTTGTTTGGCCCTGGTCCCATGCTCATATTAAATACACAGGGAGCATAGGACCAATTTCCAATAAAGGCCTAAACCTATCCACTGTGGTTATGCATGGAGCTGAGGTTTACTCAGAAAACGAACGGAGCTGGGGTAGTACAAACCAACTTCCCCAATTGTTAGGAAAAGTCGGACAAGAGATTAGAATAGGGTGCCAGGTAATAAATGAATCCACCCATGAACGGGTAACTCAAAGTACAGACAAACATCAAACACGGGAAGAACTGTGCCACTGAAAAATCAGACTGTTGGTACAATTTTACGTTAGTCCAACCAGTTCTTGTGGTATGCCTCTGGGCACACAACAGCATAGGGCTATCGTTTAAATTTAATACTGAACTTAGTACAACAACAGCAGTAACCCCAACTGCAACTTTTCCTCCCAAAACAAGTATTCCAATTACCACGCCAGATAAGAGGATATTGTCCCCACAAATCTCTGAAATTGGACCATATGCGATCAAATATGCAGACCAACAACAAGTGCTATTTAATCCATCATGGTCTCTTAAAC